TTCGCAACACGTGCAGTTTTGAAAATTGGGGAATATTCTCGGATATTCCCCAGTTTTAGCTGGGGAATATTCGGTCACGTGACACGTTTAGACCAATCGTGCACGAGCGAAAATATTTGATGGATTATAATCCAAGATATTCCACTCAGAAGCATTGCATAACTAGTGTACCCATTATTTATGGCAATGGTTCATAAAAACTAATGCACTTTGTGGAACAGACGCCTCAAGTTCATATCAAAGCAGCTATACCTCAGCAGGCGGTGGAGCAAATACTTCTTCTTTGGGCTGTGTCTGAATTGCAGAGCCATCCACATCAGCAACTACTGCTCCATCGGTTACATCCTCTTTTTCTCTGTGCTTACTGCCACAAGACACTGGAAACTGCTCCTGTAGTGGTTTACTTGGGTCTACAGTTGGGACAAGAGGTTTGTTGACCTATAGACAATAACAATGTGAAGGATTTAACATTTCAACATGCCTGGCTAGTCAGACTGATCATAAAATTAACGTTGTGCCATGCCACACTAATCCTGAATAGGAGTAGGAAAAACCAGTCCCCTTTTTCCAGTGGAGAGATGTTTTCATGGCAAAGTTCACAGTTAGTGCTTCAAAAACTGACCACATGTTGCCCTTTACAAACATGTATAAGCACTTCCCTTTTGTCTTTTCATCTACACAAGTGACCACGAGTTATGCAAAAATGCATGAACCATTTTTGAAATTTTTAAAAGATAAATTGGTCAAAATGTCAAAAATGTCGGTCAATTATATTGTACTCGCGTTCACCAAATAAACTGCTTTTTGAACAAGACGTATATATGCATCCCTGATTGTACTCATTACTTAGTTATCAACTTACTGGGAAGATAACTGGTGGTATAGTGATGTCAGGCTTTTCTTTAACCAAAAACGGGTGATGTGCTACTGGCTGGGAGTCATCCTCCTCTGTTTTAGCAGCTGCACCAACCCCGTCACTGTCAACACCTTCCTTCTCCTCCTGCAACTTTTTACAAAAAGCAGTTAGTTCAGCAATAGTCTTCCCTCCAGCTCTCTGAGCAACCTTAACTTGCTGTGTGGAGAGATCACTTGCCACAGGTTTGTCAATGAAACTGGACACTTTGTTGGTCACTGCTACACTGGCAGTTGGTAAAGTGTTGCTGGACTGTGCTTTGTCTTTTGACTTTGAACCAGATCTGCTCTTGCTCCTGCTTCTTCCTCTGTCTCTTGAGTGTGTGCGGGATTTTGACCTAGAACTCTTTCGTTTTCTATCTCTGGATGAGGAATGTGATCTCCTACTTCGCGACTGAGATCTCCTACTTTGTAATCGTGATCTTGACCTCGAATGTGACCTTCTTCCTCTAGATCTTGAACGTGACTGCCTCCTCTTTGAAGAGCTCCTTCTTCTTGAACGCGATCTGCGAGACCTGGAGCGTGATCTTGACCAATGTCTTCTGAAAGAGCCCACACCTCTTTTCCAACGAGGAGGGGAAAACCTTCGAAAATTCCTAAATGCAGGTGATTTCCTACGTGATCTAGAGCGTAATTTTCGGTGTCTAGGTGACCTAGACCTGGACCGCCTAGGTGATCTAGACCTGGATCTACTACTATATGAATGAGATAGAGAATGTGATCGTGACTTTGACAAACTTCTTTTGCTGCGTCTTTCCTTGGAACGCGACTTTGACCTTTTCTTAGATGACTTAGATGACTTGTTTCTGGAGGACGATCTTGATCTAGATTTCTTTTCACGTGATGCCTCTTTAGAACTTGATAGTGACCTTGACTTTCTTTTAGTTTTTCTGTCTCTAGAGTGAGACCTTGAATGTCTGTTTTTATTGCGGCTACATGACTTAGCATCAGGTGACTTTGATCTACTTCTTGAGTGTGAAGGACTCTTTTTGTTCTTTGAATCAGTAACTTTAGCCACTGAATGACTTCTGCTGCGGGATCTATCTTTTTCTTCTTTTTCCCCTTTTTCAGAGGTTAAATTTGTATTAAAACAACATATATCTTTCTCTGCACCTTTCTCTGCACTTACATTTTCAACAGTGCTTTCACGTTCCTCACCTTTGTCATCCGAAGTTTTTGATTCACAAACAACCTGATGACTAGGTCCTTCTTCAGAAGCAGCCTTTGATAGACAAACAGTTCCATCGGTCCCATTTAAGTCATTTTCCGTTGTATCTGTTTTCACACAGTTACCGTCGACAGTGTCAGGAGGTTTTTCTTTCTCCAGAACAAAATCATGTTGAATTTCATCCGGAGTCATTGGTGATTTGGAGCGTGAACTCGGTGAACGAGAACGATTTTTAGATTGCTTCAAAGACTCTCCTTTTTCAATAGAGCGTGAACGCGATCTAGAACGAGATTGCGAACGTGTTCTGGATCTAGATTTGTGTTTCCGTTTTTTGTGTTTCTTCTTGTCCTTGGATTTCGAGTGTTTCTTGTGCTTGTGTTTTCTCGAGCGCTTCTCTTTCGAAACATCTCCATTGCTTTTGTCAGTTCTTTTAGAAGAATCACGATCTTCCTCCTTTCCACCACTCCCCTCCGTCTTGTACACCGACTTTAAAACGTTCGCAAGCTCGTCAGAGACGAAACTCATCTTTTTTAACTCAAGAAAAAAACATGGCGGACTGCAGACAAAAATTGGATTTGCAAGAATCCGCTGACCGAAGTTGATCTCGCTCAACGTGACGATCAACGAGTTGCTTTTCGAATGTTTTTTTCTTTGAAAATATTTTTAAAGGAATAAACCTCAAAACTCAACGATAGTTTGGGGGGATTAAGATCTTTACATCCCAGCCAATATTTTCTTGCCGCGATTTCCCGCGATTTGTCACGCGCCTGAGCCCACGTGCTTAGCCGCAAACCAGTAACGTAGAAGAGCGTTATCGATCTCAGAGGGACTGGGACGAAAATGGCTAGCACCTGGTAATTTTGAGGCAGTTTCCGGTGTGTTTTGCTAAGCATTTTAGTACTTTCTTGGGTACAGTTTATAATAGTTATGTCCTCTAGAGATGGACCCCGAGCTGTTGGCACGGATGGCTCTGATTTTGCCCATAGGCAGCGTGTAGCTTCCCACTACAAGGAAAGCGTACAGTGGAAGGGCAAACTCAAGGCTTGTCTGTGCTTCCATTTAGTTCTGATCGTGGCTGTTGGAGCTTGGATTACTGCTGCTTATAGTGGGTGAGCTTGAGATAAAAATACCACAGAACCAGTCATTATAACAGTAGTTGTCATAGTACAGGTGTTGTACATAAATGGTTAGTCTATCTGTGTCAAAGAAAGCTTATTGCACCACGTGGTTTCAAAGGGACTCCTGTTAATAATCTTTCCCTAACCTGCGAATATACTTTTGCGATTGTTATTGAAAGGACATGTGTTAGTCACCGTTTTGATCAGGCATGCATCTGTTAATATGGTGCAAATATGTAGTTTCAGGATATGTCCATACCAACCCTAATGATGTTCATAGTTCAAATAGGAGTAGGAATTGATAGAACAACACATTCATCTATTGTTCAAGACAAACTCAAGCAGAGAGTTAATCTTTATCTAGAGGTGCTGTTCATTACCAGTCACCCTTCCCTCCCTCCAAGCATTCTACCAGGTTGCCATAACAACCCATTTACTGTCCCGGGGGGAAACATAATTTATATGAAAAAGTCGGGGATGCTCATTGCCTCACTTAGGGGGTGGATCAAGGATTCTGGTCTCACTCAGGGTGTTGATGACAAAAGAAACACTCAAAGAAATAATATAAAATGTAATGTTCTTAATTCCGTTTTTGGGTTTGATTTCCACCAGTCTCTCTAGTCTGGTCCACTAGCGAGGGCTCCTTTCTTAGACAGCAGCTGGTTATCGAGCTATTGCATTTTAAGTGGTATCTCTTAGGGGTCAAATGAAGCTCGAGTGACACCCAGATTGGTATCCTTTAGGGTTCAATTCAGGCTAAACTACAGAATACCCGCCCACTTATTAGCATCTCATTGAATAAGAATAGCAACTATTGTTATATACCTCGTTCTTGAAAGCACACTGGCACATGTAAATGAAGTGGCCGGGTATTCTGTAATTGCTCCTCAATTCAATTTTTTCAATGAGCATCCCCGACCTTTTCATATAGGAGTCCCCCCCTCAGCAATTGGCCTTGGGCAAGAAACTACTGTCACTGACAATGGCTTCACAACTTGGCCCAGAAGAGAAACAATACCATTAGTTATCTGGTACTTTATGGAAACTGGATAATTGTCTTCTGACCATGGCAATATACAGTATGTGGGGTACATCACATGAAGGGAAGAAGTAATAAAATAAATCCCATAATATTTATTTTACTCCATGTATGGTTACAGGTGTTTACTTTGAATGGTTTGTAGCTAATCAAAGGACATGGCACCTCCTTTAAAAGGGAAAACAATGATTGTTGTCTCCCCATGATTAAGAGATACAAAAATCATTACTTTCACCTTTAAAGGAGACACCATGCCTTTTAATTATAATTATTAATGGTTATTAAACTATACACATGGAGACCTCAAAGATAGCATTTATCATTATTTTTGCTGGCTTAGAAATGTTTCAGTTTGAGAGTCTAAGAAATGTCTAAATTGCACTTCAAATTTGGTGTTCCAGAAAGGTACGTCACTTAGACATGTATACATATGAATAAGTTAGTGACCAAGTATTATTTCTTTTGATCCACAGCCTTGTAAAGGCACGTCCAGAGCCATGGGAGATGGTCTGGTTGATAAGCACTGTTCCTACAATTGTAGGACTCGTAAGTCTCCCAAAGAACAATATCAAGCAACTGTATGTGTATGCATTCGGAACTCTTTTCATTGGAGTTGGTCCTTTAGTATTTGGTGCCTGTGTCATGCTGCAAAACCTCTATTTCAACATCAGTCATGGAAGAGCCCCTGCAACTCAACAGTGGCAAAATGCACCAATGAAGATGGCAGCCTCTGCTTTTGTGATCCAGTTTCATGGAATTGGCTTGTACTATGCGAACAAGCTAATTGGTGCTTGGAGTTCCAAGGGAGAGAAAAAGACTTCATAGCAAAACATCTTGGAAAACTGCATAGCAGCTAAAATAAACCAAAACAAAAAGAGAGCATAAGGAAACCCTTTTTTTACAACCGTTCAGAAAAAAAAATGAAACTTACTAACAAATGAAAACGACAAAAGCATTGGGGCTAACAAACCTAAGAATGTTGTAAATTGTTGTCCAATATCACCTGGAGTCATTCTTGCCACATGCAAAGTCAGTCTTGAGTTAATGGAACAGTCTTAGTTGTGATCAAAGCCGTTTAAACAGCTATCACTGGTGGAAATTGAACTTACTGATATTAGTAAGGTGCTTGCAAAATCTTTAAAAATTGTGGTGCAAAGTTCTCAAGGTAACACCCCTCTTACTCCCAGATTTACCAGCCTTTTCCAGTCTCTACTTTCAAGGGGTCTGTACATTTAATTTTGGTCATTACTGGTAGTTTCAGGCAGCAAGGAGGTGTATCCCCAGCACAAGTTTACATAACTAGTTGCGTTTATAGCTTTATCAAGACAAAACAGAAGTATGATTTATTTTTTAGAAAGGTAGTCTCGTAATAAACCCTAGTGTTCTGATTGTGTTTTTTTCTTGGCCAGGATTTTGCTATATGGACTGTTTCTATAGTTCTAAATCGTAATAAGTTGTACACAATTTTTTTTTGGTTTTCGAAAGCATGGAGGAGTGCCATATAATTTAACTATATTTACTACCCTAGCTTGCTTGAGCCATACTGGAGAACATTGGTTGTTTTTGTACAAACTGAGTGCTCAATTTCTGTACAAAACCACCTTGGGTCAAGACACTATTCCCCAGTTTGGCCTTTGCGCTCAGTTAGTAAGAGGTTAGTAATGTGCTTAGTATCAGTATTGCATACTCATACTTTCACAATAGTCTGATTAATCTTGCTACATTTGGAGGATCGTTACTCTCTAAGGGTTCCTAGGTACTTTTGGAACTTGATGCTTGAAGTGAAATATGGGCAGGTTAAACATGGTTTTATTAATTTATTGCAGCAGTTTATTGAAATAAATACTGTGTGATATGGTTTAAAAAGGAGTTTCCTTCAAGAAGTCTACAGAGTTAAAAAGAATGTCAAAATATCTCAACCTCTTCAAAACTATATTTCTCTAACATTAGCTAATGTCTTTTACTTTCTTTTACGTGCTTTTGCCTTTTCTCTAATCTCAAATATAACAAAGATCTTAACAATGACTGTCACTGTTGCTATAGCAACCTTCTGCTGAAAAGTTAGTTCTCCTTCTGCCTTATCACCATGTTCAGTGTGACTTCCCACAAACTCTTCATAATGTTCTTCCCGTATTAGAACAGGTGGACCAAGGCATTGATTAAACATTTGAACAACTTCTAGTGCTTTGTTCTTTGCATTTCTGACTGCACAAACACAGGCTTGCCGTCTGAAAAGAACAAGGAATGAAACAATTAATATATATTTGAGACAAATTTGGTCCCATGAATGATACCATTTTTCTTCCATAAAGCTTTGTGTACACAGCAATTAATAAAGAAAGTACATGGGAAATGAATGAAGACACCTAATGAGTATTTGCACAAAATTTCAAACAGTGTCTTCAAACAGTCCATAAGAACAACCAACAAGTATTACTAACCAGGGCTGTCATTAAGTTTTAATTCACCTATAGCCTTGATCTTCACACCTGTAGCAAACTTGTTACTTTATGGGTAAATGTTATCAACTACAAGCCAGTTCACCCATAACATCAAGGGTCCATGAAACATACTCAGCCATAACAGGTGTTACTGGTTAAAGCCCTTATTGACAGCCTTGACTAACTATTAAGCCACAGCCAAATGATCACAACATGTTGTTGTGTTTGGCCACACTGCTGCGATACTTGCAACATGTTGGGTCTTGTTAGCTCAAATTTGACCATCTTCAAACTTTATCCAGCAATACCCAACATGTCGCAACACGTCACATCAAAGTGTTGCAATTGTTTAGCCAGGGCTTTAAAGGGATGGCCATTTTCAAATCTGAGGCAGGGAGGGGGCATTTTTCTGTCTAAGAATTTCTAAGATAATGAATTGTAACCTCAAGCTAGAAGTTGGTTTCTATCTTAAGGTTTTACCAAAATTTTTTCTTGTGATTCAACTCTAACATCACGAGATTACATGTAGCTGGGCTCCCTTATCATTTTCCGCCTTCAGTTCACAACTTTCAATGGCCTTCAGGAGGTTTGTTTGATGTGTAAATTATACAATATTATTTGGGTTACACATCTTCTGGGTCATGTTACATGGCAGAGACTGTAAGTAACTGTCACCTTAATGAATCAAGCTTGCTTGCTGTGTGATATAGCACAGGACGGGATACTCTGACTGTCTCGTCAAGTTTTTCTACAAGGAGGTTGCACACTTGTTCACACTTAGAAAAATCACTAAACTCTACAACGACTTCAATTTCCAATTGATATAGTTTCTCAGTTCTGTTCAGAGTTTTATGGATTTCGAAGTCTTTGATATGGTGAGATTTCAGTGTTTGAAGCACATAGTCCACTCGGCGATTTACACTGGTTTTAACTTCTTCAACAGATTCCTGTCAAAAAAAGAAAACTGTAATGTTGAATCTATAACAATTTTGAACGGTGCATTCCTTTGGGATGATCTAGACCAGGATGAAGGATCTAAGATCGCTCGGATCATGGTGCATCAAAGGAACCAATGATTCCACCCTGGGTAAGTATCCATAAATCATTTTGGTCCAGGTAATCTTGGATCATTTCTTGGATCCTGGTTCAGGTAATCCCAAAGGGATGCACCCAGAAAGTTATCAGTTACCACCTGTCTCACTATTTAGAGTTAATTGCAAAGCCTGACTTTTCAACTGAGTATCAATAGTAATCTGAATAGATTTTATTTAATTTCCGACGTCATTTCAGTGTCAGTTCACTCTCAACCAATCAGAAACAAAACTAACCAATCGGACTGCAGGGGGGTAAAATGCAGACTGCAGACTGAATCTTTTCAACTGAATCGTGTTACCATTTCCATCACTGGGAGCTAATTCTTTGGCCAAATTTTATGCCTCAAACAAGCTTAGAACTTAAAACTTGTAACTGTAAGCTTATTAATTAGAACTCTCAGCGTGTCCAGTGATTCAGGTCAGAGTGCCACCCTCTACACTTTTCTAACGCCATTACACTGTAGCTGCCAGTCTTTGTTTTTAAAACTCAAGTGTGTAAAAAAAAGCAAGGAAAAAGCGATCGCTTACCTTAGTGTTGGAACACACAATCGAGACCTTTGCTTTATCTGGAGGAAGACTGACCTCTCCAGTTTCCGTTATCTGAATCTCCCGTCTGTTTTCAAATGCTCCTTCGTGTTTACTTTCGGTTATTCCCTCATTGGCACGTTCATTTTCAGCCGAAGAAGTAAACTGAGCGAACACTTGCGCTGGACTATGCTTTTTAGATTCAAACCGACTCATTTCGTTATAGATCAAGAGATAAACAAAATGCCATGAGCCTTTCAAGAAAGCTCAACCATTGAGAGATTTTGACTTAAATGAAGACACTAGCTTGACAACAAAACTTGACTACACTGACGCCTTAGAACCCAGTACTTCCGAGCAGGTACGCGCGAAGACTCGAGAGACGTGTGAGCTGTCGGTGAGCTGTTTATGTTCGGCACCCGGGTGATCATTTCTCCTCTCCTCGGCCAGTCATTTTGAGAAATGCAGTTAAATGATTATCAACATTTAAAAGTTACCAGTTGAAGCTTGTAGCTTTACGTACTGCTGAAACATTCAATCACACTGGCTGAATTGTCCCAGAGGATAGGAATCCCCGTAGGCTCTCGCTCGCGTGTGCACGTGACGCAAGTGAGTTAGGATTCCCACATTCAATCAGTCAAGAGAGAAGATTTGGAATTCGTCTGTCGCACTGGATTTCTCTGATTTCTCTGGATTTCTCAGACACCGTGCTGATTAAGTCGACATGTCCGCCTGAGGCCGCCATGTTTTTGTTTACCGATCCGCGCTCATGTAAACCGAAGCTAACCTATTTCGCGGGAAAAGGAGCCCAAAATTAGACCCGCGGTCTGTGAAAATGCCGTGACAAGGCTTAGTACGAGAGTTGTACGCTCCTGGTGATGGGCTCCTGAGATCAATGAGAGACTTTGAGCTACTGACCAGCTGGGTTAAGCATGCAAAACTGAACAGTCCGGAAAATAAGGTTTATTGTAATTATGTGTTTCTATTGCTGATTGAAACATATCAACCCCTACCAAAACCCTTGTTCAAGGGTCATAACAACTGACCTTTTATATTATCTTGCCGAATTATTCGACTTTCCGTTGAATAACCACAGTTACTCTATTGTAACTGATGTACAGTGAATATGAATACTCAAACTGACTCTTCCTTGTTCAAACATTTCAGAGGAACAAATATAACCAGCTCTTTCTTGTAATGTGGACGAACAAAATCACATTTAGATTTTTATCAAACGACTTCAAGAAATAGTTTAAACCAAATACCCCAGGGGTCTCCTTGAATCACTTTTCCTTTTTACGCTTTATAACAAAAGGAAGCGGTTGAGTGGTTAGGGCGCCGGACTTGAATCCGTAGGTCGCGGGTTCAAGTCCCCCTCTGACCACTAAGCAGAAGTTGTTTTTCGGTAGACCCTAGTTCAATTAACTTCTCGGTCATGCTTGTATATAGCCAACTGATCTGGCCTGTGAATTTGCTAGATGTAGCTAAGCGCACTGACCTCTATAAACAACAACATTTGAACATTTGTTTGCTTTTTTTTTTAACTCACATAAATCAGATCAAATTTTGTCTGGCTGCTTCGTTCCAGTCGTAAACGGAAACTTCCCTTAGAGTTATAGATTTTTGCTTGGTTACGAGCCTTGTAATATTTAAACTGATTGCAGTCACTTTTTTGTTCGCTAACGCTATTGGAAAAGGATGAATTCTCTTGTGTCCTATAGTGCTTCCAGGCTCAGGAGTTTTTATCCAACCGTCTTCGGTTTCCAACTTCAATTCGTATTCCATAACTATTTGTCCAGATTTCTCGATGTCTTCCATGAGTATAACGGAACCATTGAGGCTTTTCAATTCCCTGAATTTCCATATTTTTTCCTCTCCTACATGCATTTCAGGGCTACAGTATTTGCTTACGGGGTATTGATATAACAGCGCTATCGCTTTGCCCAGCTCCTGGTATACCGAGAGATCTATCTCGGGTACCAACCCGCGGGTGTCGGGATTGAGGTTCAAAAGCATGGTACAGCCATGTCCCACGCTAGTCAGATATTCACGTACAAGTCTTTGGGTACTTTTCACCGAGCACTCCGTATTAGGTTGCCAAAACCAATAGTGTTGGCGAATCACTGTATCACAATTAGCAGGGCAAAACAGCTGGCCCCAGGGATTCCCTTGAATCACTTTTCCTGCAAAACAAAAAAGGAAAAATTCTTTTAAGTGAGCGCGTTTTTGATCAAATGTTCTCTGACTGCCATGCATAGATCCAGGATAAAGGGGGAGGGTGGGGGCCTCATGTCAGTAGGACCTGGATGCTCGTCGGAAAATTAAATAAAAGGACCAAATATCTGGGCTTGGCCAAGTGACCCCCTTAACGATAACACTTTAAAACGAACGGACCGATAAGAGATATAATGCGTTTAACCATAAACTAAATGAGGAGTTGCTGGTTAACGCGATCGATAACAACAAAATCAGGCTTAACTCGGCCGTCAACATACTTAGAATAACAATTGATGTTTTAATTAAGTTTCTTCGCGTTCAAGCCCGGAAGATAATTTGTTGAGAAAGTGAAACTAAAATTGGCAATTTTCAACCCAAAAAGCGTGACCTCACCCCTTTCACAAAGGAGTGTGCACCGAGGGAGAGGAGGGGAATCATAGAGCTTCTTTTTGATGACATCTCAAAGTAATAATGGGCTTTCCTTGCTTTAGTCAGTTCTTAGAGGAGTGTGTAAGCAATGTCGAAAAGTTCCGCTCAACTAATTATTATTCACAACGTAAGATTTGTGCTTACCATCATTGGTCTTCATGGAACACTTTCCATTGGGCACGGCATACCAGTGAGGTAAAGGTGCCATAGCATTTTCGTTACCAACCCACCGCAAGCCTTGATTTCCAGCAAAAGTCGGGCATTCGTCACACAGTGAGTTACCTGCCAACTCGCGAATGATTGGTCCGACATTAGGGCTCACTCCTGGAACAATCCCAGCATCAAACCAGATGTAGAAAGGGTCTTTATACGGAGATTTTGCATTGAATAATTCCCGCATTTGTTCTTCCACTACCTTTTTATAGCGTTCTTGAGTTAAGGCGTTCCCAGTTGTATAATTATCCACGCCCATATACCAGTTGTTGTGCACGCTGTAAAAGAATCCGTAATCAAGACCATGTTTTTTGCTGGACATCATAAAATCGGATAGGATATTTCCCTTGCCTTCTCTCCACTTTGTATACTTGACAGAGTAGTTGTAATTTGTCTCACTTGGCCACATGAGAAACCCGCTGAAGTGGTCAATGCTAATAATAATGTATTTGGCACCAAAACTTTTCGCTGCCTCGACCCACTGATCAGTTGAGAGTTGTTGTGGATTGAAGGTGTCTACAGGCACTACACGACCTACAACAATAGCGAAAGATGAAAGATTGAGTCGTACCTAGTACAGGGGTAATAACAAGGACTTAAAGACTGACCGCAAGAATAACAGTGACACGCACTTTCCAAACACCCTAAATCTCTCCAAAGCTAGAGGGCTAGACGACTGGGGGACCGACTGCCGAGAAAAAACAAACCTTGTCTCAAGCACCCCTGTCTCGTCCCAAACTCTCCCCTTCCTAAAAGCCTCGCTCCTGCCCTTTCCGATTTTCGAGAGCAAACTAAACAGACGGCAAGCGGTCTATGATCGCCTGCATGGTTCAATCTATGAGCTTTTTCTTTACTTATCCAGCGCTCCTTTCACATTGCAATCAATCAAATTATCTATCAATCCAAAAATTTTAAGTGGTCAGCACGCTTAGTTCGCACGCTTATGAGAACGTGGGTAGACTGTAAATATACAACCTGCATGACCGCGAATGACTTGAAGGGGAACACTCGCTATATAGTTTGCGATGTTTCACATTTCACTCAGGGAAACCACTGAAAAGTTTTACAGTTTACAATGCAGTGAGGCATACGAAAACAAAATTGCAGTGCCGTGTATCAAAATAAAAAGACCAAACTATACCTAAAATTTGGTACCATCGCTAACGTCAAACCTATATAATGTCCAAAATAGTGCCTCGTGACGAAAGGGTCAAATGCCGTGAACTTGCAGACCAGTAGATTTCGCCTCTAACGTTCGTCACTGTTTAACGTATTCTTGACTGACAAGTTATAGTTGGAAACCTAAAAGGCATTCTGTTTTGGTCAAGACAACGTCTTTTGTTAAACGGACAAGTTGCGACTCACCTGGTTTCATATAGCGATCAAATGTTTGCATGTTGAAGTGAACTATTGCTCCAACTTCGTAGTCCAGCCATTTTGCTTGAGTTTTTGTCGGCTTTGGTACCTCGAAATCGCTTGCACCTTCTACACAATGAATATACAGCGTAACGATCAAAGAAAACAAACTGTAAAGTTGTATCATTCTGGGAAACGAGTGTCGAATTCGACTTTTCAGTTCAATGAAGGTTGTCATTTGGTTTCTCAAACCCCTTATGACTTACAGGGAACGATTGTTCATAGTCACATTAACTACAGGGTCCACAAATGTCTCGTGTGGGAATTACGCTTGAGGACTTATAACAAGCAAATTCTAGTAAAGTACCTGCTTCAGGACAGGTGGTAAAACACGCTGGTTAATTATTATTTCGCGCTTCCTTGAACTATGCAACCAGCAAATTAAACACGCAGGGTCGACTTCACTGTGCTCAAGACTCCCATCGTCGCGCGCGTGAGGAAAAGCTGCAACCAACCATATGCGTACAATGGCTCCGCAAATGAACTTAGGGTGGGTTCCTTTGGGGTGATCTGGATCAAGATCAGTGATCCAAGATCACTCGGATCATGGTGCATCAAAGGAACCGATGAATCAACTCTGGCCACGGATGCACCATGATCTGAGTGATCTCGGATCACTCATCCTGATCCAGATCACCCCAAAGGCTAGAGTCGTGCCAAATTCAAGATTTACTGAAGCCACTTAGCTATTCTCCCCTAACTCCTCGCGAAAACGCAATCCCATCCGGCAACTGAAATACATCATGCGTAATTTATGAATTTTGTTTCGCGCGGCAGAAGCGCGACGTTTGAGTCGCTGTCGTGCCAGAGTAGAACGCCAGAACTTGCCGAACTTAATTCAAATGTTTGATTCAGTGGTCGTACTTTTGCCGAGCTTTTGTCGAAATTAATTCCTGAATTTAGTTCGGTGCAGCAGAAGCCGCACGCATGTCATTATGAAGTCAAAACCAGAAATGGCAACTGGATAGACGCTTAAACAATAGGATGTTGTGTCTTTACAATACAGGTGGCTATTTCGAACACGGGACCAGCTTGTCAAGGCAAGGGTAGAGGGCTTGAGCCGAGGACCTTTGGATAACCAGACCAGCGCCCTAAACCTGTCGGACATGCTGTCTCCGAGTACCAATTACAAACAAATTAATAGCAAAGTCTTTTGCAAAATGTCTGGGGCTTCTAGAGTTACTTTAATTGTCCAATGTCCCTATGAAGGTCACTAAATCAGGAAAATTGTTAGAACGAAGATAGGAAACGGTTTTAATTTGTCAGTTTTGTCAAACTTCTCAGTGAATATAAAAATCTTATATGATAACGAGTTTCTATATTATATACAGTAAACACCCTCGAGTAAGAACCTACATTTTTTGAAGTCTGGCAAAATAGGTTATCGTATTTTGTGGTAGTTATTGGCAATTTGGCTAAGTAGGTACTTAATTAGGTTCTTAATTTCTATTAAGGGGATATAATTGTTGATTACCAGAAGAAATAAGCTTGGGTTTTGGTCCTTGAACATACAGTATTTATTCGCAACTGTATTATTTATTTTCTTGTAATATAAATGTGAAATCTGAAAGTCACACTCCTTGGTTACAATGTTATCATTATGTATCTGTAACCCATATACAAGAACCTGTTTGATCTTACTTGGCTAAACACTTTTATATTTTTGGAGTATTAAAATGGCAAATTTCTGCCAGTAGGTTCTTAAACTACTAGGCTCTTAAGGTCATTCCACGGAAATAGAACCTGCATGTACTGAGATTTTTCTCAAACTTTGCCTATTGACTGTTTATATTTTAGGAACTTAAATTTGGAAATAAAAATGAGGGGTCCCCATGTTCGTTTAGGAGCAACAGCACCTTGTTTGTACCATATAAATCCTTACAATAGCACCATGATGACAGTCACGATTGCTTGCTAAAACCACGTTTCCGAGGATTGTTCCGTGCTCAACACTGAGAATCGGCCCATAGTTATTTTACGTAGAGAAATTTATTACTCAATTCAACACAACAGAAAAAATTGATAGGTCACCATACCGGTTTTCGAGAAAATGACGATTTACCTCTATGGCGAGGTCCAGCCGTAAAGAAAAAGCCGCCATTTTTTAATGCGCGCGCGCTAATCACGCGTGAAATTATGCGCAGTAGGGATGCGCAATGCAATACTGGGGAATGAACTTAAACACAGGTTTTTACAGTACTCGACAAACGCTCAAGAAAAAAATGCCAACCAATTTTCAAAATTCTATGTTTAATCATCTTTTGAGATTCTACCCATTATATATCATAACGATATCTCTTAAATTTGGTTTATATATAATATAATTCTCTTACAACACGGCTATAAAGGGACAAATAGTTAACTTACAGTTTGAATATCTAAAAGTAATAAAAAAGGAAAACACTAAAATGTGATTCAGTGTGGAGTCGTGAGTATTTTTAAGACGGTCTTAGCTGAGGAGGCGTTCTGTCTGCACAGAAAACCGTCGGCAAAATACCCGCTAGGTCAGTGCTGTCTAAAGTTCGCATGAAACTCCGTTCATGTGAAGACTGAATGAAGATAAAAGCTCTTTCCTTTACATCAATTATCATTTCACTGATTTATTCGCTGTTTCCTCTTTCCGAGTCGAAGGTGATTTGAGCTTTTCCATTTTAAGTTCCAGCACTGCTCGACTTTCCATTATCTGTGAATAAAAACAAGAGAGGAAACAGAATGAGATAGAAAAAAAATCCACGTTTAGTTCCACTTGACAAGTGCCAGCTCGGAGTTCACCAGGCGAGTTTACTGCAATGCTTGACACCTGCCAAGTAGTTGGTTCTTTCCCTATAAATGTGCGCTCGTCTCCGCATCCAGCGGTCCGGGTTCGAACCCTGCCCGGGGACACTGTGTTGTGTTGTGTTCTTGGAAAAGATAGTTTACTCTCACAGTGCCTCTCTCCTCAATAGTCCTCATGGGCCCGATGAGGATGAGTGAGTGAGTGTGTGCCTCTCTCCACCCAGGTGTATAAATGTGTACCGGCGAACTTAATGCTAGTGGTAACCCTGGGATGGACTAGCATCCCATCCAGGGGGAGTAGAAATACTCCCAGTCCCTTCATGGTACAGAAATCAGTATAAGCTCCGGTCTGATGGGCCACTGACTTGGCTCGTATGCCACAAACTGAATGGGCGATAATGAGCCTCAAAAAGTAAGCGTCTTTTAATAACCGTTTATAACTACACAGTTAAGCGCAATCAAATCAGTCTCAGTTACAGCCTACCGTTTTAAGTTCCTGTTGAAGTTCGCTGTTAACTTTTGAAAGCGCAGCATTCTTTTCCTTCAGATCACTTATTCTCGAATTTAGTTTGTCCTCCTTGGTTAGAGGCCTACAAAGAAAAGAGGATAAAAGCAGTAAAATGCGTATCCTATATTTTGCAATCTACACTTTAAGCTTGATTTACAGGACTGCCCTTACTCAGCTTGATTCGCGAGGAAGTGAGAACGCGTTACCTGAGAATTTAAAAGCAACTCTTTAACGAAACATACTCGTCATACCCTCCCTCCATATTGGGAAGGGGTGATTGCGTGACCACAGAAAAAAAAAAACATCTGTGTAGAAGTCAATATGGTATCATGTCCATACTGATGGGTGTCTTGCGATTTACGCAAGTCAGCACAAGGAAAGCTTCATGCAACTCACCTTACAATAACTCTAGGCGGTTCTGTTTTGAGTTTTCTTTCTTTGTCTCCATCTTTGTCTAATCGCCTTCCCTGTTTCAGAGTAGGAGGACTAGGGGGTTTCTGTAAAAGAAAAGTGAAATATTAGACAAAACAATAAAAGCAGAGTGACACGTTCTTTTGGTAAATTTAACAGAGCACATAACTGGGAGTCGACTGGAGTGACCACGTGAACCAAGTTCAACTGAGTTTAACTAAGGTGTACGCTCATCACAAGTTGAGATTCCTTACTCAAAATTATGTGACTAGTTAAAGACGTTAGATTAGCGAGCCTCGGCTAGACGACGTAAGGCAACGATTATTAAACGTAAAAAGAATTTGGACAGTGATGAATACATACCAACTTAGGAACTGGTCTAGGCAGAGCCTCTTGATTGTGAGCTGGTCTACTTGGTGTAGTAGCAACTGCTGCAAAAGAATAACATGGATGTTAAAAAAGAGTTAATAGTTAATGACAGAAGTGTGATCAAGATCTAGTGACCGATCATCAAAATTTAAATTCAAGACAAAAATGAAGCAAGTCCGGGGAATTGTATGAATTCCCCCCACGGACTCTATGAAAAATGGGTGGAGTTCTAACAGGAGAATTTGCAGGTTGATATCGAAGTTGGAAAGACTGCAGGACCTGCAGGTAATAAAGGGGCAGACAAGGACAAAGCATGATGTTTTTCTCCTGACAAAGCACAGGGAAAATCAGTTCATTAAAATATCTGCAATTCCCATGGACAAATGATGCGGGGAAGAGACAGTAAGCAGTGGCAGTGAATTCTTGGTGTGTCCTTGTTCATGATTCTGGTTCGTGTCTAACAGATTTTTAAAATGTTACCTTCACTGGAAGGTTTCTGAGGAGGTGAAGGCTGCGACCAGACTACCTCCTGAAAGATGAAAAAGAAACAAAATAAACAAAACTTCACGGGATTTTTCTTTTTTGTGTGTGTTCATGCGCTATTGCCCTCTCAAGCGACATGCATGACAACCAGGATTGCCCATATATTTGTTCGACAATAAATATGAATGTTTGCTCATGAAATGGTCGGATTCTGCTACGCGGGCAAAGTGACTGACGGTACGAGTTTTTGAGATGCCACTGAGTAAATCCAAAAAAACTCCAAGTAAAAAGCCTTACACGAGAATGGTCCAGTGAAAATGACCGTCTGTGTTGCGCGGGACGAGGGGATGAACCTCTTCTAATTACACCTCCTCCGCCTTGCGCTTCCACAAAACTCTCAAATCTGCTGAAGTCGGCAAAATCTTCCTGCTTCTCTACTTTAGTGTGATTCACTTCCAACTTGTCATCGCTGGTGGAATTCTCATTTTGACGTCTTGGTGTTGCAGGTTCACTCCTAGCTGGAGGCACACTGTCGCCAGTCTAAGGAAACAAGTACTAATCAGGTGCCAAAAGTCATTCACGTATTATATCAAGTATATTAAACACCGAGAGGAGAATTGAAAATACGACGCGTAGCGAAGTATATTTGACGAACTTTGAGGTGTTTGGAAATGTGGTCAAACACTGTCTATAGTGTTTGATATATCTTCTCAATCGAAACTAAAACTAAGGAGAAAACGGAGAAATAAATCGTTTAAGTCTACGCTAATATACGATAAGATATCCAAACACCGTCACGGTCATGATTTCCTTTGTTTAAACTTGACGAATTATTACTGAGTTCGAGAATGTTAATTTTTCTACTGCGCGGTTTTCTCTAAAAAGCGGTTTTTAAAATTCAAGTGTCAAAAACGTCAAAAACAAAGTAACTACTCTGGGCTAGAATGTAGAATACTGGGCCACTCATTTACATCTCATTGAATTTGAATGGTTCCTTTTGTTTCTATATGCTTCGTTCTTAAAAGCTGAGAGATATGTTAACAAGTGGCCGGGTAGTGTAAAATCGCTCCCTACTCTGGCCAATCACAAAGGACACAGACTATCCAATGAACAAACGAAACCTCAAACCAAAAACATGTAGCCAGCTTAGATATTGTCAAAATTACATCCACACACCTGACTTGAAAAGCTTGATGAGGACGATGGCGGGGTACCTAAATGTGCAAACATTTAACAGAGATATTACAAGTAACTAAGTAATTGTCTTGATATGTAAATTCTAACTAGCCCTATGATCAATGTATCGATACTAGGACTGAGAATTTGTATGCTTAGATGTCAGTTTAGAGGATTACGATAACAGCCGACGCTTTCATCCTGTAAAATTATCAAACCCCACACCGCACCTCAAATGGTACCAAGCAAAAAGCACGAGTCTTCATACCCTTATCCTTATTCTCCTTGGCTTTTGTGGCAAAAAGCTTGTTGAGATCCAAAGAGGAGGACCTTGAGTGACCTTTCTTGTTCCTAGGGGGTGGAGGAGGGGGATCTTTCCTTCCTTCTGAAGATACAGAGCTCTGACCTTGTTCGTCCACCGGTGTTGATGGCAAACTAGCCTCACTTTTACTATCAATTTTCACATCTCCAGTTGACCTTGGTCTCTCCCCACTTCTCCTGTTAACTCGATACACTACTTCTTCTTTGACGGTGTCTTCCTTAGGCTGTTCTTCCTCTTCTTCCTCTTGTTGTAAAGGAGGAGGCGAGGGAGTCTCTCTTTGCTCAGGAGAAAGCGGTGAGGTGGGAGTGTCCTCTTCCGGTGACGATGGAGGTGACGATGAAGGTCCTGATCCTTGATATATAAATTTACTGGTAGGTGTCCAGCCATCACGGGCTTGCTTTCCCGAAGGTGGCGGCAGAAGCTGACCGGGAAGAACATCAAGAAGACTGGGTTTGACCGTTGCTCTTGGTCGAGCTATCTCTATCTCCGCTGTTACTCCTTGGTTAGGACTGGTTGACCCAGCCTGTGGCACTTCACCTTGCTGGGCAGGAGATTGAGGCATAACAATGTGGAGCGGATTTACGGGTTTGGGACTAGCAAGGTTGGTAGTCCTGCGAGAAGCTCCATCAATAGATGAATCGTCTAAAGAAGTCGGATCAGAAAGTGATCTAGGCCTCGAAGCATTGTTCCCATCTCCCTCAAGGTCAGCTCTAAGTGGTATGGGTTGAACAACTGAGTGCTATAAAAATACAACACGATAACACATTAATTATTAATACAAGAATGATCAGTCTCATACAGCACTTGCGTATTCTGAATGTTGGAAGTTCCTTTTTCAGTTAGGAACTATTTAATAGTAAATAATCTTGTCTCAGAAATTGAAAATTCTTGCACTGTCTTGCTTTTTGTTTTTTGTTTTTGTTTTTTGATGGATTGCCTTTTACAAAATTTCCAAATTTTACACTGTCCACAGGCTACTTCAGTTACAGTTACTATTGTTTTCTCCTAGTGTACTGTAAAAAAAGTCACCAGATCACAACTCTTTTTGATGATAGCGGAGCTCCGGCGGCCCGAAGGGCCGCCAAGCGGAGCCCTATACTCATATAGGAAAAAGAAGGAAACCCATGAGTTGATTTTCTCATGGTTATCATGGCTAACGGTATTGCTCGTGGGCGCGTACGCACGACGACGACGGCCATACTCCAAATAACAGGTTGACAGAGACATGCAGCCTTGATTTACCGTGTACTTCCTTGATATTGGACATCCATGTTATGATCAGTTGACACCTGTCAAAACAAGGTACCCGCTGACCAGTATCACATGACCATATCGCGGGCTCAAGTTCACAGCTCCTCGAGGTCACGTGTTCTTTGAAGTTGACCGCTGACCAAGTGCTGGTTATTGATTGGATCGCGGGCTCATATTAGCTTAACTTGTTGGAAACAGGGCAGGATTGTTTGGAAGCCGGTTAACGCTAACCCAGGATTAAAAGTTAACCGAATTATAACTTCTTCTTCTATACAAATGTATTTTGCTGTTTTGTTTTGTGTATATGGTGATTATTAAAACTCAAAACAGAAGACAAAGAATATACAGAAAACCTCACCGCAAAGTTACAAAACTCAGATCAAAATTCTTCCTTTTTCTGGGTTAGCTTAATCGGGCTCTGAACAACCCGGCCCAGGAGCTACGCTTTTAGGCTGGCCTAAATCTATATATTAGAGAGGTTAAGCATGACATTTACGGCAAACGGCAATGCTGTAAAAGTCATGCTTAACCTCTCCAATGTGAGTTATAATGCATTTGATAAAGCAAATTAATGAAATATGTTGGGCATATTTAGAGTAACGCTAACAAAGTATAATGCCATGTCAATTCCACTCTGGCTGTCATTTTTACAAGTTGTTTGGTTCTGTCAAACAGACTTCATCAGACCATGTTAAAAACATAGTTATTAAATGATACTACACAACGACTTCCATGACTACAAGTGGTCTAGAAATATGATGACAACATTCTCACAAGGTGGCATTATCCAATCACTTACTGCCTTCTTCCTCATAGAAGAGTTGCTAAAGTTAGCAGGCGGTGATGTCACAGCCTGATGGTGGGGCTCCGTAAAACGTAGCCAGTGCTGTGCAGACAAACAAGTGCAATACAGTGGGTGCGGTGCATTGTGAAAACACATTCATGCATTACAGTGTGTAAAAGTGCAGTGCAATCATTGCAACCAGAACTGATTTTACTAGAGAACAAAAAGCTCTACTGATAAAAAAATGCTGTTTGAAGTTTCATCATCAACTTACTCTCCCACATAACAAAATACAGCCTATCTGATTAACTTAAAATTGATGTTTTTGCAAGGAAATTAGCGTTAACAAACAAAACAATGGTAAAAAGTGTTACTAGTAAAGGTATTGTTACACACAACCTTACCCTGCTTAGCTTGGCGGTTTTTAAGCAATTTGAGCGTGCTAAGAAAACGGCAAAGCTGTGATAACGAGTGCCAAAGCTGTGCTAACGGGCGGTGAAGCTGTGAGGAGCCTGGGAGAAAGACGACTCAGAAACCTCTCGGCTTCGCTGCTGGTTTTCACAGCTTCACCGCTTTGTGCACTCACGCTCAAATTGCTTAAAAAATTGCTTTAACTGCCAAGCTATGCAGGCTAACACAAGCTCATTACCTTTTGTTGTGCTTCCACATTATAATATTTATTAAATCCATTTTGAAATCACTGGTTATCCTTGCAATCTGATTGGCTCTCAATGGTGCGATTTATTCACGAATCGCACTGTTTTTTGCTCTAAATCGCATCTTTTTCTCAGCCATTGCGAATGGGACAGTAAAACAAAACAACAAATCAGATTTCAATATTAGTTTAAAGTAAACAATAAAATTTCAGGAAAATGAAAGGTAAAAAGCCACTGTGTGGAGAATTTAGCAACTAGTATTGCCAAAACTTTGTTGTTATTGTGTTTTTTTTTCCCAAAACACTTGACGAATGTAATTAATTACAGTTTCTAAATGACAATTATCAGCTCCTTCAGGCTGAACACCTACTTTAATGGAAGTTTCCAACTTTCAGTGTCCATTTTGACGAATATTTTGGCGATTTTTCTTCAACATCTG